TCAAATGTTGTGATTGCTTGCTGACAGAGTTCTCCATTTGGTTCTGTCCTGGGTTGTTAGACCAATGTAGTAGGATTTAATGTTTTTTTTAAATTCACTCATGTGACGTGAGAGTGGGCGATGCTGGCAGCATTTATTACCTATCACAATCCCAAATCCCAAATTTATTGAATTCAATAAAATATCTGGAATTAAGAATTTAATGATGACCATGAATCCATTGTTGATTGTCAGGAAAAACCGATCTGATTCACTAATGTCCTTTAGGGAAGGAAACTGCCATCCTCACCTGGTCTGGCCTACATGTGACTCCAGACCCACAGCAATGTGGTTGACCCTTAACTGCCCTCTGGGCAATTAGGGATGGGCAATAAATGCTACCTAGCCAGCAACACCTTCATTCCATGAATGAATAAAGAAAAAAAATCTCAATCTCAATTTCACTGCCATTAAAAACCCCATTGTCTTTTGCTCTGGGAACTCTCACAATTGCTTCTCCTCCTCCTCTGTCAACAGCATAAAAACCACCATTTTTTAACCCCTTTCAGTTCTGAAGAAGAGTCATATTGGACTCAAAATGTTAATTTTGTTTCTCTGTGCACAGATGCAGCAGGATCTGCTGGGTTTCTTAGGCACTTCGTTTTTAATTTCAAGTCTCCAGCATTCTGGAGGTAATACATGTTGTTAGAAGAAACAGGGAGAGACAATATAGGCTCAATGGTACAAATTTGAGGGAAGTACAGGAGCAGAGGCACCTTGGGTTTCACATGAATGATTCTCTGAAAGTGGCTTGGCAAGTTGAAACAGTTGTTAAGAACACTTATGGGATCTTTGGTTTCTGAGTAGTGGCACAGAGTATAAAAGCAAGGAAGTGATGCTATACTTAGAGAAATCTTTGTTCAGAGCATATTTGGAGCATTGTGCTCTGTTGTAGCCACCTTATTTAAAGAAGGATGTTAAAGCCCTGGAGAAAGCTCAAAGGGGGTTTACTAGAATAATGACATGAATGAGGCATTTTAGACACAAGGACAAATTATAGAAATTGGGCTTATTTTCCTTGGGAGCAGAGATGATTAAGAGGTGACCTTATTGAGGTGTTCAAAATCATGAACAATTTTGACGGGGTAAAGAAGCATATTCTGTCTCTATTTATTGGTACGTCAGTAACTAGGGGTCACACTTTCAGGGAGGAAGGGTCACTGGACCCGAAATGTTAACTCTGATTTTTTTCTTCACAGATTCTGCCAGATCCGCTGAGCTTTTCCAGCAACTTCTGTTTTTGGTCACTATTTCAAGATTGTCAGCAAGAGAGCTAAGAGTGAGGTGAAGAGAAACTTAAAAGAGTTTACTCAGAGTTGTTAGGGTTTAGACTGCATTATGTGGAGTATTTTGAAGATAGGGCTGAAGAATGGGACTAGCTGGCTAGCTCTTTCAGGAGCCGTACAGACAAGATGGATCGAATGGCTTCCTTCTGTACTGTAAAATTCTATGATTATATGATTCTACAGTACTTTGCTTTTATCTGAGACCACGAAATTGGGCTGAAAGCATTGACCACAAAATTTTCTGCCTTCAGAGATTTTGCAGCAGCAACACTTCTAGTGTGGGTCATGTGGTGCTCTATCCTGGAAAGATTGAACACTTGTGCTAATCATTCGCTTATCATTAAAACTAGAGAAAGACCTGCACTTATTTCGCATTTTTCACAATCACCAGACATTTCCAAGTGTTTTATTGGCAATTAATTACTTTTGAACTGTAGTCACTGTTGTATTCCAAAAAGCAGACAACTTTATGGATGGCAAACTGCCACACTCAATGTGAAAATGGACAAATCTGTTTTTGTGATGTTGACTGAGGGATAAACGCTGGCCAACACACCTCCATCGCTCTTCAAAAATATTGTCATGGAATCTTTATCACAGCAGGCCTCAGTTTAACATCACATCTGCTAAGCAGCATTTCCAACAATGCAGAACTCTCTCAGCATTGCGCTGAAACAGATTGTTGCTTCCTGCAGCCAATTCTGCTATCTGTAGTCATCAGCAACTTCCTCCTCACAAATGCAACTGCCATAAGACCATTAGAAATAGGAACAGGAATAAACCATTCTCCACCTCGACCCTACTCTGCCATTCGATACAAATGGATCCAAAATTCCTCGCATCCATTTTCCTACTATTTATCTTCTGTTCAAGGATCTATCTATCACAGTCTTAAATAGATACCAGGACTCTGTAGCAAGGAATTCCAAAGGTTCTCAACCCTCTGTTGGAAGAAATTCCACCTCATCTCAGTCTTAAATTGGTGCCCCTTTGTTCTGACAATATGTCCTCTGGTCCTACACTCTCCCATGAAGTGAAATATCCTCTCTCCATTTATAACATTAAGCCCATTAAGAATCTTACATGTTTCAAAGAGATCATCTCTCACTTTTCTAAATTCTAGTGAGGGAAGTCCCAACCTGTTTAGCCTTTGCTTGTAAGCCAATAGTAGGGATCATCCCAGTGAACCTTCTCTGAACTGCCTCCAATGAAATTATATCTTACTTTAAATAAGAACAGGCAGCTGAGGTCTTCCGGAAAGCAAGCTAAGTGGAGGAATCATCAAAGACTATTGAACTTTTAACTGTATTGCTTTATTTTTCTAGTTCATATTAAGAAGAACATTAATGTTAACTATTAACTCATTTCTTTATTTTTTCTACTCATTCTATGAAGGTAATGTTTAACTTTTTTTTAACTTTGTTTCTTTTACTACCTTGTATCTAAGTTTTTTTGTACCTACATACCTTTGTACCTAAAATGGCGCTGTGTGTGGCGACATTATACACTTTTCACTGTACTGCTGTACTCTGTAATTGAGTACACGTGACAATAAAATCAAAATCTAAACACTACTCCAGATGTGGTATCACGAGCATTTGTACAGTTGCAATAAGACTTCCCTACTCTTCTTCTATAATCCTGTTGATATAAGGGCCAACATTCCATTCAATTTACTGATTGCCTGCTGCATCTATGTGCTATCTTTCTGTGTTACTGTACGATTCCACCCCTGCCCCCCACCAAATTCCTTAGTGTTGCAGCTTTTTGCAGTTTTCTCCACTTAAATAATATTCTTTTCTTCTCCTTTCCAAAATGAACAGCTTCGCATTTTCCCAGATTATTGTCTACTTGTCAACTTTTTGCCCATGTACTCAACCCATCACTGTTTGTATCCTTTTTTTATTCAATCATGGGACATGGGTGTTGCTCACTGGCCTGGATTTATTGGCAGTCTCTAGTTGCCCTTGAGAAGGTGGTGAAGAGCTGCCTTGAGAGCTGCTGTCGATTGACCCACAATGCCTATAAGGAGGGAATTCCAGGATTTTGACTTCATAATAGTGAAGGAATAGCGATATACTTCCAAGTCAGGATGATGAGTGGAGTGGAGGCATACTTGCAGGTGATGGTGTTCCCATGTATTTGCTGCCCTTGTTTGGAAGGGTTTGGAAGGCACTGTCTAAGGATCTTTGGTGAATTTCTGCAGTCGATCTTGTAAATAGTACATACTGCTGCCACTGTGCATCGGTGGTAAAGGAAGTGGAAGCTTGAGGATGGAGTGTCAATCAAGCAGGCTGTTTTGTCCTGGATGGCGCAACCTACTTGATTATTGTTGTAGCTGCATCTATCCAGGCAAGTGGGGAGCATTCCATCGTACTCCTGACTTGTGCCTTGTGCTTTGGGAAGTCAGGTGAGTTAATTGCTACAGTACTCCTAACCTCTAATCTGCTGTTACAGCCGCAGTGTTTATGTGGTGAGTCCAGTTGAATTTCTGGTTAATGATAACCGCCAGGATGTTGATAGTGGGGGATTCAGTGATGGTAATGCCATTAAATTTGAAGGGGTGGTGGTAAGATTGTCTCATACTGGTGATGGTCATTGCCATGCATTTTATGGTGCAAATATTACTTGCCATTTGTCAGCCCAAGCCTGGATATTGTCCAAATCTTATTGCATTTCAATATGCTGAAGTATCTGAGGATTCACGAATTGTGCTGAACATAATGCAACCATCAGCGAACATCCCCATTTGTGACATCATAATGGAGGGAAGGTTATTGATGAAGCAGCTGAAGATGATGGGGCCTAGGACACTACCATAAGGAACCGCTGCAGGGATGTCCTGGAGCTGAGATGACTGACTTCCAAAAACCACAGCTATCTTCATATGTACCAGGCATGACTCTTGCAATCTGTGTTTCTACTTATTTTAGTGTCATCTGCAAATTTGGATTTACAGTCTTCTGCACTGATACCAGGAGAAGACAAGATCTTATTTCCTGGACAGCAAGAAAATGTTACATACTGCTTGTTATGGTTATGCTATAATGCATGTTCTATCAGTACAAATTGGCTGTAACATGATTGACAAATAGGGGAATGCTATTTCTAAAATGCAAATTTATGTTGCCTGTAACGCACATCTATCAGTGTGCGAAGCAGTAGATGTCAACATCACAGGATCATTTCACGGGTTTTGTCATGAATATGTACAATGTTAGCTCCGAAAGAGTCTCCATGCGGCATCATGTGATCATTTTGTGGGCTTTGTCATGAAGTGCTTTCTGTGAGAGTTACAGTACAACCTCATCCCCTTTCAAACCATCTTAACATTTTTGATATTTTTAATAATATTTCATTATTAGATGTGAATTAAACATTTATTCAAATTGTGCTATCCTTTGTGTTAGGCTTTTGAGAGGATTTTTGAGTGATTTTCTTTGGTGGTCTGCCCCAACCCCACTTTTCACACAGGGCCAGTTATTTCTATAGTGCGATTTTCAATAACACAATGTTGCACAGAGACACAACTATCGCATTATAGCAGAGCTGACTGTATATGCAATAAAATTTTGCTCATTAGATCAACGAAAGAACTTGACATCCTATACAAGCACATCATGAATTGTGTAGAAACCAGATAGGAGTCAATTCATTAGTCATCATACGCTGAAGTATATTAATTGTATTTATTATTTCATTTACATGTGCATTCTATGTAATTTTCAAACAATTTCTGTACTTTCAATAATTAATCAACATACTTACTTTTCTTCACACATTTCAGATTATAAACCTATCATTCACAGTACATTTTGCATTTATGGACATACAGCAAACACCATGAGAATGTTGAGCATTACAAACCATATTTTCCCAAATAATAATGATTATTACAAACCAGTTGAATTTACATACAAGTATTGAAATTCTGGCAAAGCAACAGCCATTTGGCTCAAAGGTTCCATGTCCCATTTATCGTTTTAATATTTTCCATACTACTACTTCTATTTTGTAGCTGTTAATTGAAGTCAAATAATCATTAATGTTGACGTATAAGTCAGCTATTCAAGGTCAACCCTGTTCCCCATCCCAACAAGAAAACAATTTTGGTTTTTATGCCAAATACAAAAGTGAACTGCTGGTTTGGGTGTCACTGGTACATGACACAAACAATGATCATGTTTTAAAGCCCCAAGCATCTTCACAACATAGCCTATATTGTTAGCTTCATCTCTTAACCTCCAATTATAAGATACTAGTAAATATAACATTTGTGCAATGGCAAATTGAAATTGATGAATAATGTGAGTATGGCACACTGTATCTACAAAAGGGGTCAACTCACACATTGAATATAAGCAAAATATAATTTTTAAGACCAGAATAATGGGGTCATTTCATACACCAGTTTGACTGTTACTTCGCATGATTTATTATTTGAAAATTACAAAGATTAAAATTGAATCAAAAAAATTGATGAAATGTTTATGCCAAATAGTTTGAATGTCAAGTACTGAGGCTACTTTATTCAGTCATTGTACATTGCAAGATTGGTAAAATTGATTACTTTTCTCAGTTTTCTGAAAATTAAAAAAGAATTCGAATGCTGAAAATGTGACACAGAGGCTAAGAATATTGGAACTAGAATGTTGGATAGTAAATTGAAATGGTAAGTTACTTTGGCAAATATGATCCTTTATTAGAACAGAAACACAGAATATTAATTTGTCTTTTTGTTGTGGATGCTAACTGTTTTGCAATTTCATCGTTGTCTCCTTGTTTCTGTCAGCTCAGTCGTCCCTTTTCTTGTTATAATCACCTCCCATGGAAAGATTTTGGTAAGTATTCCAATCTTCCTGATGTGATCTCTGTGTAGGGAAACATGGACATATTAGGACAATTTAATTAGCTGCTTTGAAATATTTATTGCCTAATTCTAATCATGTTAACCAGTAAATTCCAATATTCTATTTTATATTTATTGTTACATACATATCAGCTTTGCATTAACAATATGTTAAAACATAGCTAGATCTCGTAATTTGACTGTATAAAGTAATAAGTGATGATAGGAACAAGTAAGAGAGAAAAGTGCAAAAAAGCAAAGAGCTAAAGAAAATATTTAACCACAACTTATGAATATTTTTCAGCTTAACATTTTGAGAACATGACTGATGGAAGCATTTTCTAGCATTTTGGGAAAGTATCAGTGAAACATATTTTATCCTCTATGGGCTTGGTCATTTTCACCATTTTGTTAATATTGTGAGCCAAGAAGCTCTGCTGAAGTGAATAGATAGTATTTCTAATATGCCAGTATAAAACAAAATAAAGGCTGTGATTTTCAGCTAGCAAACACCAGTGCTAGGGACTCTGCTCTTCCTGATGTATATTAATGACCTACACTTTGGTGTGCCAGGCACAATTTCAAATTCGTGGATGATATGAAACTTGCAAGCATAATGAACAATGAGAAGGAATGAAATAGAACTTCAAAGTATATGGCCAAATTGTTGGAATTGACAAACAATTGGTAGATGTAATTTAAATCAGAGAATTGTGAAGTGAATCATTTTGATAGAGAGACACAGAGAGAGCTGATGCACGGGAAAACCATCACTTTCAAGTTCTCCTTGAAGCTACACACCATCCTGACTTGAAACTATATCACTGTTCTTTTACTGTCACTGGATTAAAATCTTGGAACTATGTTCCTAATCACTTACCTCAGTATTCTTGTATACATTTCATCCTGGCATTTTATCAATTTATTGAGCAGACAGCTTCTTCAATACCTCCTCCTTATCAATTTTAAGTATCTAGATTGCCTCCTCCTTTGTTTATGATCATTGTCTGGCAAATGTATAGCTTGATAGTTACTAGCCACTGATCAGCCCAACCCAAAGTTCTGTCCAGATCTTCCTGTGCATGCGCACAGACTACTTCCGTATCTGAGGAATCTCAAATGGCACTGAATACCAGGCAATCATCAATGATCATCGCACACCCAGTGATAGGCATTATGATGGAGGGAAGATGTAGTAGCTAGAGACGGTTGGGCCTAGAGCACTACACTGAAGAACTCCTGTAGTGATGTCCTGGGACTGAGATCATTGAGGTGACTAAGATGAAGAAGACAAAATCCAATAGATTTTTTTCCTGTTGTTGGTTCTTTCACTACCTGCTATAGGCACAGTCTGGCATATATGCCCTTCTAGAATTGGTTCTTCCAGTTAACAATGGTAATACTGAGCCATTATTCATGATGACTTTGAAATCTCCCATTAGTGTAAATTTAGTGTTATTGGTTTCCTCAGTGCCTTTTCCAAAAGGTGTTTAACAATGGAGGAGTACTAATCTGTCACCTGAGGGACTGTGGTAGGTGGTTATCAGCAGGAGATTTCTTTGCCCATCTTTAATTGATGCCATGAGATTCTAGGGATATGGAATCAATGTTGAAGGCTCCCAGGATAATTCCCAACAATGAACCAATGTTTGAACTGGAGAATTAAATTGCTAAAGAGTCAGGTTTTTTTCTATAATTCTGACAGAAATGACATTGACAAAAGCTATTCTTTATAATAATTGGTTGATAATAAATTGCACTTGTAACTTGACTGAATGCTGTTGAGCATCATCCATAGTTGTCAAAAATAATTTTCACAGCAATACCACATTTAAATTATTTTATTTAAAGTGCTAATTTTAATTTATTCAAATAATTTATAATAAATATGTTTGTAAAGTGTATTCATTGATTCACTATATCTGAAAGTAAAATTGCATGAGAAGGAATACCAATTTCTCACACGTTCCTGACCTTTCCTTCATTCATTTAACTTAAGGTAAGATTTGGGATATTCTTTACTGCTGGGCAGTTATCAATAATATAATTAAGCATTGTTTTAAAATACCTCATCATAGTCTCTTGTTGCCAGTTTGTTCATCATCATTGTCTTGCTGCCCAAATTTACTCTCGGAATTTTTGTTAGGTTTTCTCCCTTTGTTTCCATTACCAATGGCTGATGTTCATCAATTTTAATATGTTTTAATCTGCAACAGTGAAATTAGAATAGTTGTTAATATCTGTATTAGAAAGAAGCGAGCAATTCTATAATGGATCTGAGTTGTTGAATGCTATACTGCTTAAATGGATTTCTTGTACAAGAGTGCCTAAGCAGAAAGATTAGTATTTTCCAACAGATTTCAGACCACATGATCAAAACACTCCAATACTGTACTTGTACTAAAGTAATGCATTTTATACCATTCCTTCAATGTCAACTTCTCTCCTACTATTGGAGAAAAAAATCTATTTACACTATGTGCCAAATTCTACAATGTCAGATTACACACACTTAGACAAGGTATTAGAAAATTGTTGGTATACAATTAGACGAGAGGAAAGGAAGTGATACAACAGAAATTTGAGAAACAAAGGACAAGTGATACAATTTCTCGTACATTTAGGTGTTTATTCATATTTTTTCCAATAAAAACATTACTGTCTTCATTGTGCTATTCCCCTATGTTTACAGTTCGAACACAAAGTTTTTTTTGAAGCCACTCTGATTTAGGTTTGCAATAACAAAAGTATCACCACTAATAACATGCTGAATATAGAAATATGTCCCAATGCAATTCACAGATGGGCAAGTGAACAACAGTGCTGAGCTATCAGTTAATATCAGAATAATCATTCAATTAGCATTGGGACTGTGAAGGCTCTTGGCTTTAAGGATATTGTCACAATTTCACTGGGAAGATCTGAAAATGTATAAAATCCCAATTAAACCAACAACATAATTAGTTTCAAAAACAAAGTTGCTGGAAAAGCTCAGCAGGTCTGGTAGCATCTGTAAAGGAAAAAACAATGTTATCGTTGCGGGTCCTCAGAGGAAGGGTCATTGGACCCAAAACGTTACCTCTGTTTTTTCCTTCACAGATGCTGCCAGACCTGCTGAGCTTTTCCAGCAATTTTGCTTTTGTTCCTGATTTACAGCATCCGCAGTTCTTTCGGTTTTAACATAATTAGTTTGCCTGACTGACTGCTATTTAGGGCAAAAATAATTCACACCTGGATTTGTCATTACCAAAAATACTTACTTAATGTAACACATTTAACTTTAACAAACACATAGAAGAGAAAGGATTCTTTACTTACCACTAGGGCAACTTAAACTATAGTCCTTTACGAACACCAAATGCACACACACATTCATGATTAAGGTAGACAAAAGACAAACTGTTTGACTCAGATATTTTGAGTGGAAAAAAGAATATAGACAGGGAAAACAAAGTTCTGAACATCAAAAGTTCAGGTCATTTGGGTGGATTAAATTGTGTCTCACAGTTCCTTTTGATTAAAACAATAATGATATGCTGATGTTTGTAAAGTGATGGATATTCTTCGCTTTGACAGTTGATGTAGTGAATCTAAATCTTTTCTGATTAGGTTTTTCTTTTAATCTTATTAGATTTTGTTGTCTTTTCATTCACATCAGGAGAAAGATAGAAAGATGCTTTCAGTTCAGAGTCTCTGGATATCTTCAACAGTTGCACGCCTTCAGATTTGTAGCAAACTGCAACCCAACTGATCCAAAGGCTTTCAGTGGGCAGTCTTTACTTAACTCAAAGACTTTTGATGCCAAACTGCCTCAAAATAACAATATCACTTTTGAAATAGTGAGATTATCTTACATAGCTAAAAATGCGCACAACTTAATTTTTCCAATGATGCAAATTTCTCCTTGTATTTCATAGAAACTTCCATTCCAGTTTAGAGGCCAAAAAACAGAAAAAAGTACTCTCTTACAATATACTGAGAAAACTTATTTTAAACTAAAGTGTGAGAATTCATACTAATATAAAAATGACTTTTATAGGATAGTATTGCCATTGGGTTCTTCATATTTAATTTGTTCACATGATCTTTTTTTAAGCAAGAGTGGCATCCCATTTACTCATGTTTCCTAACTTAATGCAGAGAAAAGTTATTCAAATGTGACTTGCATATTCACCATTGAATATACAATATCGTCAATGCATATTCTTTCTTTAACCTTTTAAAGAATTTCAAGAACAGTTTGCATTCATTTTAATAAGGTGATTTGGCAGCTGGATAAATGTAGCATCCTTCTGAGGCATTACTCCTGCTTAGAACTTTAGATGCAGGAGGCATGCCTTATAATTTGGAAATCTTAAGGTGTCATTTAAATATCAGAAAAACATTGCGGTCTTCCTAAATTCAAGTCACTTTAAAGACATTCCCATGCTATTTAAATATATATACATATAACTTGAAAAATAGATATTTTGAAGTAATGATTTTCAGAAGTACTTGGCCTCAGTAATTGTTTAAGCTCCCTATTTGGAACTGTGCTCTGAACTGGGCCATTCTTAAATATCAATGATAAAGAATATTGGATTCAGATAAAATAAATAATATTACCTCGCACACGCATAAATAAGTCCGATTGTCATACTTATTATGACAACTCCAGCTATAACACCAATCACTACAGTACTGAGTTGAAAGGCTGCAAAATAAAATTACATTTCAAAATAATTATCAAATTAACTGTAACATTTAAACCTCAAAATTAATGGTTTAAAATATAATTATATTATTCTAAAAATCATACAGCAAACAATTTGACTCGTTGTAAGAGATACTGAGTTAGTTCCACTTTCACACTCTTTTTTCGAAAATGCTGCAGTTCTTTTTAATGAGATAGTAGGAACTGCAGATGCTGGAGAATCTGAGATAACAAGGTGTAGAGCTGGATGAACACAGCAGGCCAAGCAGCATCAGAGGAGCAGGAAAGCTGACGTTTCAGGCCTAGACCCTTCTTCAGAAATGTGGGAGGGGAAGGGGGTTCTGAAATAAATAGGGAGAGAGGGGGAGATGGATAGAAGATGGATAGAGAAGAAGATAGGTGGAGAGGAGACAGACAGGTCAAAGAGGCGGGGATGGAGCCAGTAAATGTGAGTGTAGGTGGGGCGTTAGGGAGGAGATATGTCAGTGCAGAGAGGACGGACAGGTCAAAGGGGCAGGATGAGGTTATTAGGTAGGAGATGGGAGTGGGGCTTGAGGTGGGAGGAGGGGATAGGTGGGAGGAAGAACAGGTTAGGGAGGCGGGGACGAACTGGGCTGGTTTTGGGATGCGGTAGGAGGAGGGGAGATTTTGAAGCTTGTGAAGTCCACATTGATACCATTGGGCTGCAGGGTTCCCAAGCGGAATATGAGTTGCTGCTCCTGCAACCTTTGGGTGGCATCGTTGTGGCACTGCAGGAGGCCCAGGATGGACATGTCGTCTGAGGAATGGGAGGGGGAGTTGAAATGGTTCGCGACTGGGAGGTGCAGTTGTTTAGTGCGAACCGAGCGTAGGTGTTCTGCAAAGCAGTCCCCAAGCCTCTGCTTGGTTTCCCCGATGTAGAGGAGGCCACAACGGGAACAGCAGATGCAGTATACCACATTAGCAGATGTGCAGGTGAACATCTGCTTGATGTGGAAAGTCTTCTTGGGGCCTGGGATGGGGGTGAGGGGGGAGATGTAGGGGCAGGTGTAGCACTTCCTGCGGTTGCAGGGAAAAGTGCCGGGTGTGGTGGGGCTGCAGGGGAGTGTGGAGCAGACGAGGGAGTCACGGAGAGAGTGGTCCCTCCGGAAAGCAGATAAGGATGGGGAGGGAAAAATGTCTTTGGTGGAGGGGTCGGATTGCAGATGGTGGAAGTGTCGGAGGATGATGCGTTGGATCCGGAGGTTGGTGGGGTGGTACGTGAGGATGAGGGGGATTCTGTTTTGGTTGTTATTGCGGGGAGGGGATGTGAGGGATGAGTTGCGGGAGACACGGTCGAGGGCGTTCGCGACCACTGAGGGGGGAAGTTGCAGTCCTTGAAAAACGAGGACATCTGAGATGTACGGGAGTGGAATGCTTCATCCTGGGAGCAGATGCGGTGGAGGCGCAGGAATTGGGAATAGGGGATGGCATTTTTGCAGGAAGGTGGGTGGGAAGAGGTGTATTCTAGGTAGCTGTGGGAGTCGGTGGGCTTGAAATGGATATCGGTTTCTAGGTGGTTGCCAGAGATGAAGACAGAGAGGTCCAGGAAGGCGAGAGAGGTATCAGAGATGGTCCAGGTGAACTTAAGGTTGGGGTGGAAGGTGTTGGTGAAGTGGATGAACTGTTCGAGTTCCTCGTGGGAGCACGAGGCGGCGCCGATACAGTCATCGATGTAACAGAGGAAGAGGTGGGGTTCTGGGTGTCTCGGAGATCTGGGGGAATGGTGAAGACTTGGCAGGGCTGGGTGCTGCTGTCTCCTCTGGAGCTGCTGGCTGTGGAGGCGATGGGCGGAGGATACGTGGAACAATCCCTCTTCCGTACCTACACTGGCCCTAAAACCCACCCCCATCTCCTACCTACTAACCTCATCCCGCCCCCTTGACCTGTCCGTCCTCCCTGGACTGACCTATCTCCTCCCTAACTCCCCACCTACACTCACCTTTACTGGCTCCATCCCTGCCTCTTTGACCTGTCCGTCTCCTCTCCATCTATCTTCTCCTCTATCCATCTTCTATCCACCTCTTACTCTCTCCCTATTTATTTAGCTCTTTTTAATGATTAGGTATTGTTACTATTGAATCTGTTTCCAATACCCATTCAGTGTGTATTCCAGATCATACAAATAAATTCTTAGCACCCCTCCAATTCTATTTTTAAATTCATTAATGGGATAAGGGCATTGCTGGCTCGGCCAGCATTTATTGCCCATCCCTAATTGCCCAGAGGGCATTTCAGAGTCAACCACATTGCTGTGGGTCTGGAGTCACATGTAGGCCAGACCAGGTGAGGATGGCAGTTTCCTTCCCTGAAGGACATTAGTGAAACAGATGGGTTTTTTTTTCTCCTCAACAATTGACTCATGGTCATCATTAGATTCTTAAATCCAGATATTTTTATTGAATTCAAATTCTACCATCTGCCATGGCAGGATTCAAACCCATGTCCCTGGGACATTATCTAGGTCACTGGATTAACAGTCCAGCGATAATACCACTAAGCCATCACCTCCCCCTGATTACTACTTTAAGATTATGTCCTCTGATTTCTGATGCATGCCAGTGGAAATGGTTTCCTTTATTTACATTTTTTAAAGCAGTCTATAATATTGATGATCTCCAAGAAATATTTCCTTGACTCTCTTTGTTCTATGGATAACAGTCTTAAATCCTTCCGCTCTCCTCATTACCTGCTTATAATTTCTTTCATATGTTTTGTAGGTAAGTAGCTTATAAGTGTATCAATAAAATCAAGCATAATGAAGTGAAAATATTCCAGAGTTGTTTGAGTAAACAATGTATGTTAATTTTGCAATCCGATTCTGCTATGAGCTTAGTGGTCAGCTGACTTCATGCAGTGAATGGGTTTCTTTGATTTGAATATCATATCTGCCAACACAGGACCAACAGAGCTGTTGAAATAGCTGAGAGCTATAGCCTTAAGATGGTTACTGATACATAGATGTTACTTTAGTTTTAAATTACTAACACCTAGCTACAGTTAATATCAATTCATTCATTATATGATTCCTTCACATATGTATTACCCCACAATTAATGTGGCCTTGTGAAACATTATGATTCATAAGTTGTAAAAAATTGATTTAACTATACGTTTTTCATTTTGTGTGCTTCATCTTTTTAAATAGAAACATTTAAAAATCCTTGTTAGCACTCCCTTCACTGAGTTCAAACAATGAACTTTAATGGAAAAATACACACACACACGCACACACACACACACACACACACACACACACACACACCAGTGCAACACCAGTCCTCTTCCATTCCTGGGAAAATTTTATCCCCTTCATTTCATAGTGTGAATGTAAAACTGTTAATTCTTACCATCCTTGCAGTCAATTCCACCATAGCCAAATGGACAACTAAATTAAAACAAGCACATCATTAGTTGTAAATATAAGAAATACTTCAAACACACACATATATAACAATGTGAATTAATTTTGACCAACTAGAACAGTTAAATGAAATAAGAGCAAAAGAGTTAAAAATTGTGTACCTATGTTTCAGTTTTATTTAGTTTTAAAGAGTATTTTGCTTTGTCTTTGCAAACATACTTATGAAGGATCTGTGCAGCTTACATTAATTTTCTGAATCCTGAACTGGAAAATAAAAGTTAATAATTTTTATGGAATATTTTTCTTCCATTTTTCTCCATGTTGTTCCTGCCCTGCAGGTGTTAAGTCTTTGCTGGAATATATTTGTATTTGCAATAATTATTGTTTGATGTTTCATTTATGAGGATAGTGGGTGACAGCTGCTCAGGTGACTGGATTGATAGCATATGGGTCCAAATAATTTTGATAAATACCAAAAGTACTGTTTGATCCCCTGTTTGATTTGGCTGAAGTAGACTTATGACCTGAATAGAGAGTAATGCCAAACCATTAGTGGCTAAGGACCTGCCAGAAATCAGCTCATGATGAAACATCAGCACTCACGAGTCAAGGACTTACGTTTGGTCAAAGCACACATACTATACTTCATTTATATGAACTTTGATGACTTTCAGCATGCTGCTCAATCACAGAGACACTATTAGAAAAGTTATAGCATCACCACAAACTCCAATGTCTCCGTTCAGTCGCACACCATCCTATGTGACCTACTTCTGTCAGCACCACTGGGGCCAATATTCCTAGAGTGCCCCACGCAGCATTATCATAGGAATATTATCTCACAAGGAGGAGGGCTGTTCAGTCACAGCAGCACCATTTCAGGAAAATAGAGTTGTAAAATAAATGCATGTGGTTCAGAATAACATAACAATGCCAATAGTGTTGCTTGATTCTCCATGTGGCTGAGGTAGGCTTACGATATTTCCACAAACCTAAACCCAATGTAAAATAAGATGCTTTGAGTGGGGTCTTGACAAAAGTCATGAATCCTGTTCATCGGGGATATCTCAAGGATGTAGTAATGGTCTTCCAGCCAGTTATCCTTCACAGGCTAGACAACAGTCTTTGGGGAACAGTCTGTACAAGGGAGAAAGGTATATAAAATAAAAGTAAAATGATCTTATAAGTTAATGATTCATACTCAACCTTTCACATTCATTATTCCTTCGTTTGTATCCAGCTTGACATTTACAACTACATTTATTATCCTCTCGAACAATGTATTCGTTTATTCCTTTGCACTGCGTATTGCATGAATCTGAAAGTATTAAAGGCACATTAAAATATTCAGAGATGGTATAATTAAAACATTTTCCATATACATATAGTCTTTGAATAATGTGGTAGTTATGTCCCTGAAAATCATCGTATCAAGTGAAATTGCATTATTGGAAACAAATTCCCATTGAAACCCATGTAAATGTTCAGGTAAGTCCCCAGAAGTCATCCAGGCTGATTTGACATCTTTTTAACAAATTGGATCTGCCTGCTGCTACACATGTTTTTACAATATAGCGAATAATAGCACCTCCATTCCCACTACTAGAGGAAAAAGTGATCATTTCCAATTGTGGACAATTCTTGATGTCGTTCTTCATTGGATATTTGAAATAAGAAGCATGTATATTACATGTGAGATTTGTCATCAAGTACGAAGCTACATGCGATGTGGAGAAAGTAATGAAAGTGAGGTCAATCCCAGGCATGAATGGATAAGTTGAAACAGTGAGTACAGAGACTTAGGAAAGTAACACTGCATTCTCTGAGGTAAGAACAAGTGTCAATCATCCATTAAGGCCCACCTCCGGCATTGTTTATATATGTCAATATATCAGTGATCAATAATAATGTTATTGCAAATTATGAGCAATTTATTGGATTAGTGGTTGTAAAGTAAAATCCATGTTATAACAAATCCGTGTCATTTGAAACTGCATTAATCAAAAACGATCTGCATATACAATTAACTTTTTTTAATTTTACACGTAGAAGTGCTACATAAAATTCAGACATTTACTCTAGAGAATTATAGGTGATACATTTTGGAAAAATGAAGACGGAGAGGATAAATGTACTTGGAATTTCTATCAGGATTGATTCCTCTGATTTACTAAGTTTTGTGGTACTACAGCTAAAATGGCATTTATACCTTTCCTTCAAGATTTTGGTTAACATTCTGCCAAATGTAAAAGATCAGGAAAATGTGCAGAAAATACATCAAATGGTGAAAAATTAAAAGCAATGGAAGCTTTTTGTGATTTAAACGTTTTAGATATATAGACTATTAAAAGTTGTCAAGTAATTTGTTAAGGACATTCAAAAGATAAGTAGTGCTTGAGTACAAAAGCAAGGGCATAATCCTAAGTATGTGCAAACGTGGTTAGGGTGCAATTAGAAAATTGTCTCCAATGTTCTGCATGTTACTTTACGAGGGATCACAAGGTAACTTAATGGTGCAGCTAATGTCGCCAAGATACCGACGATGAAAGGTTTCAGTTACTATAATAGTGAAACTGAAACTCTGTAATTAAAATAAAGATTTCATTAATCAATTACTTCACAAGTTCACAATAAAATTATGAAGGCTTTGACAAGGGAAGGCAAGGACAGGATTTGCAATTAGGCAGTGCCTTTCACACTAGGATACTCCAAATGTTTTACAGCCAAATTATTATTCTTGAAGTGTATATACTGTTGTTAAGTAGATAGATACATTAATCATTTTTTATGTTGGAAGTTTCCAAAAACAGCAATGGGATAAATGACCAGTTAATCTACCTTAGTGACATTAGTCGAGCGGTAGCTATTTCTCAGGACTTTGGGAGAACACACACAGGAAATGTTAGAGAAATTCAGCAGGTCAAACAGCATTTATGAAGAGCCAAATAGAGTTAACATCTTGAATCCAAACGATGTCTTCAGAACTGATAGACTGATAAAGAGACCCAACACTTGAGCTGGAACTTAGGGTCACCAGCTCAGATTTTGGTATGTCATGTAGCTTGAAGCAAGTATAGAATTGGCATCAGCACATGGCGACTCACTGGGTTTGTGTGAGCTGCAGCCAGGCAAACGTACGAGTGGTTTTCGGGAAACTTATGCCTCCTGTTTGTGTCTCCCCAGCTTCCAAAGTCTGAATCCAAACTCCAATCACTTCACCCACATGCCTAAAGTCGCTAATACCTCCTTGGAGAAAAAAACGCTCACTAAACATTTTCTGAAATACACTTATTCCCTGGATTTCCTTATAGTCCCAGCAGCCATCACTACTTGCATCTGGCACTGTCAGGACTAATCAGCAAGCAGCCAGTTCGATTGACTGATAGACTTTGAGGGTAGGTCCTGTTTTCCCTGATGGATATGGTAAGTACCTTGCTTGTTGTGATCAGCTGAAGAGATGTGCTGTTTGATATAATCCACCAATCGTTGTGATGCACAACCTACACACCTAGTATCACATCAGCATTGAAGTCAATATACCACATACCTCATAGGGAGAATACCTTTTTAGCTTAATAGCAGCACCGTGTTAATGCTGAACATCAATCCTGTTGCTGCTGCATAACAGCAGAGTGTAACAGCTAGCATTTCCTATTTCCGTATAATTTTTGAGATACCTTTCCCTAAATTTGAGGCAGACTGAGCAATTTTCAAGACCAAAGGTGAAGTCTTTACAGCCATTCGTGAGCTTTCATGACATACAGTAAGAAATATTCTGATCAGGGTAGCCATTATTCCACAGGATGTGTTTGATGTGTTCTGTTACAGTATCAAATGAGGTTTTGAGGTATTTATGAGGTTGCCACTAAAGCCTATTTTAAGACATGGGGAACTGTAGGGATCCTAATGTGTACGTTGACCAGTGAAGGTTGATTGTAGTAGGCAATATTACCAAGCCGAGACAACAAGGTGCAGAGCTGGATGAACACAGCAGGCCAAGCAGTTCATCCAGCTCTGCACCTTGTTGTCTCGGATTCTCCAGCATCTGCAGTTCCTACTATCTCTGATTCAATATTACCAAGCCACCTGGTTAATTTCTCACCTGAGATGTTAAGTAAAGACAGCTCATTTGACAGCTGCATTTCAAAGGTGAATTTGAGCGCTAGGTGGAGTCCATTAAGACACTTAATGAAAATCTTACATATAGCTGCGGATTCAAATATATATCAGAAATATGCGAGGGATAGGAGGATGGGTATTATTCCATCGATGACATGTTTCTCGTGGCACCCGGGAAATGTGTTTTTTTGACAACTAATTAAATGTCATATATGATCTAAATAATAGGTTTGGTCTTTTAAACCCTGTCTTATCTCCAACTAATTCTGCACGATGTGAACTGGCTAAATGGTGTGTAAATTTCTACAACCATCATTTAAGTAAGTTTTCCACATGCACAGTGAAAGATTTCTTCACATTTGCAAAGACCATATTTGACTTCCATATCAATAACAAAGTCTTCATTTGACATTTCTAGCTTATTCTCCAATGTATCACTTGAGGAATTCACAGATATTTGCATTGCAGCATTATGTCATGGTGATTTAAATATGCCACCAGTGTGAGAGTCAGTATTCATTTAATAATCAACACATGTGGTTGATTCCAATTTTAATAACACTATGTACGCTCAAAATAGATGGTGTTGCTGTAGCATGTTTAGATCGCCATGACATACTGCTATAATGTAAACATCAATGGCTTCCTTGAATGGTACATGGGAGAATAAGCTAGAAATGTCAACTGAAGACATGAACATTGCACTGTTATTGACATGCAAGTCTTGTATGGTCTTTGCAAATGTGAAGAAATCTTGCATGTGGAAAACTTGTTCAAATCCTGGTTGTAGAAATTCATCTAACCATTGGGCCAGTTCAAGTGGTGGTGAAGTGGTCAGAGGTAACCAGGGCATAAAAGATCAGTTATTTGCTCTCACACAAGTTCAGCAAGCATTTTATTTTTGGCTTGCTTTCAAACAAGCAGTCCAATCACATTGAGCAGCAGGTCCAATAGAGCATCAGGGGAGCAGGAAAGCTGACGTTTCGGGTCTACACCCTTCTTCAGAAAAATGATTTTTCTGAAGAAGGGTCTAGACCGGAAACGTCAGCTTTCCTGCTCCTCTGATGCTGCTTGGCCTGCTGTGTTCATCCGGCTCTATACCTTGTTATCTCAGCTTCTCCAGCATCGGCAGTTCCTACTATCTCTGTAACAAGCATACTAAACACCTTCTTCACTATCCTATCAAACTGCGACCCACTTTCGAGGAACTATGAACTTGCACTCCAAGGTCTCTTTGTTCACCAACACTCTCCAGAAACTTATTTGCCCTCATTTGTCTTTCCAAAATGCAGCACTTCACATTTATCTAAATTAAACTCCATCTGCCACTCCTTGACCCATTGACCCATCTGATCAAGTTCCTGCTGTATTCTGAGATAACTTTCTTTACTGTCCACCACACCTCCAATTTTAGTGGCATCTGCAAACTTACCAACCATACCTCCTATGTTCACATCCAAATCACTTATATAAATGGCAAAAAGCAGTGGACCCAGCACCGATCCTTGTGCCTCACTGCTGGTCACAGGCCTCCAGTCTGAAAAGCAACCCTCCACCACCACCTACCGTCTTCTACCCTTGTGCCAGTTCTGTATGCAAATAGCTAGTTCTCTGTATTCCATGTGATTTAACCTTGCTAACCAGTATACCATGAAGAATCTTGTCAAATGCCTTACTGTAGTCCATATGGATCACATCCACCACTCTACGTTCATCAATCTTCTTTGTTCCTTCTTCAAAAGACTCAATCAAGTCGATGAGACATGATTTCCCACACACTATCCCTAATCAGTCCTTGTGTTTCCAAATACATGTAAATCCTGTCCCTCAGGATTTCCTCCAACAACTTGCCCACAACTGATGTCAGGCTCACTGGTCTATAGTTCCCTGGCTTTTCCTTACCACCTTTCTTAAATAGTGGCACCACATTAGCCAACCTCCAGTCTTCCAGCACCTCACCCATGGCTATTAATGATACAAATAGTCTGGCACTGGAAAAATTAATCAATTTTGCTTCCTATTTCCAACCTCTCACCTTCACCTGGTTCATCACTGACTTTTTCCTTCCCTTTCTTTACTTAACTGTTTTTATTTCTGGGAATAGATTATCTACAGAGATCCATTACAAAATCACCAACTCCCACAGCTACATTGACTACACACCCTGCATCCTATAAGAGATTACATACTCCCAGTTTC